CAAAATTTTCTTTTTTTTCCTTTTAATTTTCTTTAAATGATTAAAAAAAGTTGGATATGACTATGTATATGCTTTTACATGTTTGATTTAGATGAGATTATACTTTTGTTATATAGGCTTGATTATATCACACTAGTCCATATATGGTTTTTTCAATTCATGTACATGTGTTTCTGCACACAAATAATCAAAAGATGATTACATGACACATTGTCTACATGAGATATTTCACATTGCAATTTCGCACATCTATTTCTATACTTATCATGTTTTGTGATGTGAAATGGTGGTAGAGAGTCTTATACTTGGTTTATAGATATTTTTTGTTATATAAAGTATTTTTGAGCTCTTTTGACTTGGCTAATGCACAATCCTTTATTTTTATATGTGCTAAAGTGCATTTATTTCAAATATCAATCAAACAATAAGAATGTATTTGTTAAAGGATGAGTAAATATCCACTTTTAGGAAATCCTTGGAAAATTGAGTATATTCGTTAAAAAATTGTCAAAGACCAACACTAATGGGTATGTGTTTGTGCATATCTCAAAAGATAGCCATTATGTACTAAATATATCTTATATTTAGAGATGGTGTGAGTCGTCCTTCAAACAGTATTGTTCTTCCTCCTAAATCTAAGGTGATAGGACGATGCTTTGGTCCTTACTTTCTATGGTTAAGATTGAAGTCTTATTTTTTCTCAATACTCACTTTGATATGCTTGGATTTTTCCAATAAACTAGTATAAGTCTATTCAATATTTGTTTCACACACTTTGCACTGATATTTAATCTTTTTGTTTGTGATTTTTGATGTGATTTCTCTAGTGTTCATGTGTCTCGTAATTAAATTTTGATAACTTATGCTATTTTTTATATTTTTTTGTGTGAACCAATATGTTTTTCTCTCCCATACACTTTTTGGATGATTTCTATCTAAATTTCTCGTGTATCAAATATATCCATTAGTGTGGTTTTTCACTTTTCCTAATAAAAAAATTGGAAGAATTTGGTAAATTTTGATGAGTTTTGCGTGAATGGAAATTTGACTAAGTGGGTTTCATGCTCTGATTCTTTTTGAAATTTTTAAAACACTCGATGTATTGTTTTTTGGGGAGTTTTTACAATATATGTGTTTAATTATACTTTTCATGAATGCATGAATGCAGGGGAGCATTGCATATCTTTTTCTTTTGCATGAGAGTGTTTTTATGCTTATTGTTGCTATCTATATATCTCAAATGTGCGTGTATTTTGGTATTTAAATTTCTAGTTTGTTATTATTAAAAAGGTGAGATTGTTAGGATGTAGTCTATATAATATCTCTTGTTTTAGTAATGACAAATGTTCATTTGGTATTAATAACGGTCTGATATAATGTTGTACAGGAAAATACAGGTTTACGTAGTGCACAAGGCGAAACGATGCAAAAATCAGCTTAAAAGCTGATTTCAGCCCTTCTACCATCGACGGTGAGAAGAGCTCATCGATAGTTTACATGTGTCATCAATGATTTTTACTCCAGATATTTTTATATCATCAATGGGCTTCTCAGCCATTGATGGGGCCTCGACACCATCAACGGTCAAGAGGCATCGTCGATGGTAAACACGATAGATTGCATATTTTTCAGATTTAATCGTAGCCGTTTTCTATTTATAATTGTTGACATTCTTGTTTTGATGATGATTTACAAACAATTTACATCTAAAATTGTTTGTCTAGTATTTATGTTTTATATTTATTCTAGGCAAACAATATGTTGAAGGTTGGATGGATTGCACCATAACGGTCATATCAAATGGAGGTTGGTGGAATAGTGGTTAAAGCCTTGCAATTCAAGTTAAAGATTCAAATTCAAGCTTCATCCGTGAGTGTACCAAGATAGAGCTTCGTTGAAGATCACAAGCTTGGGTATATTTAGTTTAGGTTTATATTATGTGTGTTAGTACTTTAAGCTCAATCATATACACACATACACGTTTTGGTTTTGTATATATATATATATATATATATATGTTTTGGTTTGATAGTTTTCAAGTTTTACTATGAAACAATTAAATATAATTAGAAAATATTTTTGTTTCATACTTACATGCATATATATGATTTCATCAATGTCAATTTTATTCAGTTCAATGAAATCATGTTTTAGTGCATTATATGTGTATTTTGATAAAATACTATATTCATTGTTTATAGACTTCATAACAATAGTTTACATCTTTCTTCAAGTCTATAAAATCATTTTGTATTGTTTCAAAACATGGTTAAGCTAAAATGTCAAAACTCATATGTTCACATTTTCATGTTTTGAACTATTTTGTAAAATGATGATATTTTTTATTTGGGAGGTCCTTTCTAAAAACCAGTTTTTGTAGCATGTGTATTATTATGTCTAAAATCATTTTCCAAAGTTTTATATTTTTTAGAATTTATTTGATATTTTTAAACAGGGTTTTAAAATCAGAAAATAACTTTCAAAACCTATATATTTTCTGTATCAGTTTGCGGTCGACCGCCACGGTCAACCGCTTGCAGTTCAGAAACCCAGCTTGCCTTTTTTATGGATCGCGGTTGACCGGAACCGCGTCGACCGTGGCTCATCAGAGACTTTCGTGCGTCGACCATCGCGGATCACCGTAGCTTCTCAAAACGGTTCTTTTGGATTTTGTGCTTCGCGGTCGACCGCCAGTTTCTCACGGTCGACCGTCGAACTGATGATTGCTTTCCAACGGCTATATTCTGATTTGATTCTCTGGGGTTATTTTGGTCTTTTCAAAGTTATTTTGGTTGATGTTTTGAGTGGGTATAAATACCCCATTACCTTCAGCTCTTCAAAAACAAGAGAGTGTTTTTAAAACAAGTTTAAAGAGTTTTAAATAAGGGTTTAAGTTTGGTTTAAGTTTGTTTAAGAAGCTTTTAAGCATTTGGAAAGTTTGAGTTTGTAAAATCAATTTCACAAGAGCTTGAGGAGATCATCTATTGGTGTTTGGGCATCCAACTATTCTCCCTCTACCTCTTGATCTATTGAGAAGTTTTCTAAACTCTATTTCTAGTTTTACATCTATTTATTTGATTATCATTTTATTAAAGCTAGTTTTATATTGAGTTTAGTTGATTTGATTTCACTCATTGTTTACACACACCCACTTGAGCTTATTGTGTTTGCATACATTGTATATTAGGGTTGGTGAGAGTTGTAACAATTGAGTGTTAGCTTTCATTGTGTTCTCATCCATATTAGAGAACAATCATTTATTGTAATTGTGCTTATTGTGAGATTCACTTTGTAATACACTTGTACACCGAGAGAAGTGTGTGGCGAGAGTCGGGGATCGTCCCAAGAGGAGTGGCGTCGGTTGATGAACCTAATGAGAGATTGTATCCGAGCACTTGAGGGAGACACGTCTAGTTCAACACTTGAGAGGGTGTAGAGTGAGATTACAAGAGTGTGTTAGTTGTAGAGTTTTCGGTAAACTAGAAAACCGTATTGTGTGGTGTAAACGTTATTCGGGTGAACGTAGAAAACCCGGTTGTGATAGTTGAGATCTCATCGAGGTGAGGAGCGGAGACGTAGGTCAAGTGGTTAGACCGAACTCCATAATCATATCGTTTTGTTTGTGATTGCATTGGCGTTCTTATTCTTGTATTCATATCTTATATTGCCTTTGTGTATTGCACTTCATATTGCCCTATCACTTTGGTAGATTGTTTATTTCACCCTTGTGTTAGTTTGTATATCCTTGCATATAATTCATAGTATATCTCATTGCTAGGATATACCCCTTTGTTCATATTGCTCATCCTAGCTCATATATATTGTTATATTTTATATTCTTGCACATAACTCTTTGTATATCTATCTTGCAAGAATAGTTCTTTAATAAGTTTTAATTGGTATAAAATCGGATTAGATTAGTATAAGACCCTAATCACCCCCTCTAGGTCTAACAATAATATCTCCAGCCTCCATCATATTTAGGATATCTCTATGACCCATTGGGGAGTCTATATCATTAAGAGAGAGAGAGAGAGAGAGAGAGAGAGAGAGAGAGAGAGAGGGGGGGGGGGAGGAGTTCTAGGGGGTTTGATTTGTGTTTGGTCAAGTTGAAGATTTTGATCCCCTGGAGCCTCATCAAACTCTCACTTGTCGTGCACACCATCTCCGGATTGTTTCAACGAGAAAAGTTGCCCTTGGACTAATCTTCTTCACCATTCATCATCAAGCTATGCTTATATCTTTCGAGTGATGGTTTGTTTTAGCGAAAGGGCTGTAAGATCTTGCTTGCATTTTGAGTTTAATTGATATTTGTTTGGTTTTGTTTTGCACTTCTGTGACCGCGTACTCAATCCGGTTGAATTGATGGTTGAGACTAGCTAGGAGTTACTCAGTTATGAGACTTAGATTAGACAATATATTTCAAGTAGATTCCAGTATGCAATCTTGTAGTCCTACTAAATTCGGTTTGTAATTCAAATGAACTCTTTATATAGTGAGGAAGCCCCTTTCGTTATTAGATGAAAGAGTGTACATACCCTTCTTCAAATAGGACAGTCATTTCTAATCCATGCAACTTCTCCTCCTTTCGATTGGGCGGCTTTTGGGTTATTTCCAAAAAAAGCCCAAGAAAATGAAATTGAGTGAAGAAACTCCCATGAATGGTTTCAATCATTTCCTAGGGGAGTAAACGTCGTATCAAAACCAACTGAATGCGAGTAGTCGGTCTGAGCCCTATGATGCATTTAGTAGGGGGCAAATTTGGTATTTTACCTCTATGGCTTAGATCGACCGCTCGCACGATCTTCGTCTAGGGGAAAACTGCAACGAGTCTCATGGAATTTGGGTCAAATCAACCAGTATGCGGGAACCAAACATAAAACAGAAAAGCACCATAGGACAAAACTTGGTTTTGTCTGTTTGAACGTCAAGGTACAAATAAGCTAAAAACAAACGCCATTCAAGAACAGATAAGCTAAGAATGTATTGACCTTTTAAGGGGAAAAAAAAAGCTAAGAATGTACTCACACCACATCAAGGTACATCAGAAGATTAATATTTTAGTTGCCAATGCACATGGGATATAGAGTAAATAAAAGTGAAAAACAAAGGACGCTTACGGAAAAAAAAAATTAACAATAATCCCTCTATGCCGCAAGTACAAAAGTAAAAGGAATCATAATAAATTCCTCACATTAATAAAAACTGAACTACAAAGATTCAGAAATGTTCCCCTCATCTGAATCAAAAGGAGGCACGTCTTGGTCTTTCTTCGGCAACATTCACTCTAATTGCTCGACCATCCAAATCCTGTAGCAATCAACAACAGGAAATTACGCAGTTGCAAATATATTCGATATACATAAAACTTGCTTTGAAATATAGATGAAAACCATGTCCATAACTTTGAATCCCACTAGTACCATAAGTACCGTAAGTTTAAGTCTGAATTTCAATCGTGTATTCTAAACATTTTCCATATTTATTTCTCTGCAAGTCACTTATAAGTTTGGAAGTGATACATTCCAAGCATTCCTTGTCGCACAAGTATGAGGGAATGAACATGGGAGAAAAATTAAGAATTTCTGGATTTATCCTTGTATTGAAATATCCAAATCCAATTTGTATAAGCTGGTCACATCTACATTCCAAGTGTAAATTGTCACAAAGGATTAATCTATTAGATAATGTAAAGTCGTATGTAAGAAGGTTCCGATGGGTATGTGGTGGCAACTCATTAAGCAAAATGAGCTTCCAACAAATGGAAGTGGTCAACGCCCACTTGATGTGACTAGTAGGGCAGGCCTCACCACATGGCTAGCTCTCGATAGCTAAATGAGCCGCCACCTCATACTCACTATTTCCATATAAGAATTATTCAGTTTCCTTGTCCATTGTCCATGTGTATCATCCACAACTTGCACTGTTGAGCAAAGAAGATGTGGAGTGAAGTGGTAACAAGGCTCAAGCTTCAAGCGTTTAGCAGTCAATTTCAATTAAAAAAAGGAAGGCGGTGGGGAGCAATGACATTTTTAAAGAGGGTCAAAAGAGAAAATACAAAAATTAGAGGGGGGAAAAGGAAAAGAATACAATGATCAGCATAAGTTTATATGCAACAAATAAACTCAAGCGTCTAGAATGATTTTGCAAGAATTATGCCAGGTAATGCAAATAAAAAATGGCCTTGCAATAATTAAATGAGTTCATCTTTTGCTAAATCTCAAAAGATTGAAAATTGTAAATGCAAAAGTCAAGGTTATAGAAAGCGCTAGGCAGCCAAGGCGTTGGACTTGACGCCTAGAGACTAGGCACCTAGGCGGTTTTCCTATTTTTTATTTTTCAATTACAATAATTGATAGTAAATGCCAATGTTATAGAGCGCTTAAGCGACGGACTTGCGCCTAGGCGAATTTCCTTTTTCGTTTAAGTGGTGGTAGAAGAGGTTTTGCTAATAGTCGAAGGTGGTAAAAGAGATGTTCATAGTTGGAGGCCTGAGAAGTTTGGAGGTGGCGCCGGCTGCAACGAAGGAAATCACGATCAAGGCCTAAAAGGTGCAGTCCACATAAGCAGCTCACGCTACTCTAGACACTCACAAAACCTAAGTGGGCAACCTAGGCACAGCCTAGGCCTAGGAACATGTTTTTTAAAACATTGGCAAAAGTCAAATGATTTGGGAGCATGGCCATTTTTCTGCTCAGAATAAAAACTATTCCAGAACTGACTGAGGAAGTGAGCATATATTGTTGTCCAACAATGAACAAGAGAGTCAAAAAAAGAAAGATGAAGGGAAATTTAGACGCTGGGAATGTTTTACTTTCTTCCAAGTACAATTTCATGCTTATTTACAAGTTCTCTGAGAGCAGTTGCCAGTAAAGCCCACAATAAATTGACACAAAATGTAAAAGATAACACAAACATAAAGTGACAAATTAAAAGATGGTAGTCATTAGTCAAGTGTCCCAGAATCGTTATCGCTGAGGTGGGGGCTAAGCATTTATGGATTTTGATCATAATAATAACTTGTGTTTAGACACTTGACCTATTCATTGTGCAGTCTAGTCATTCAGCAACCAGGATTACATTTCCTCAATGATACGTAAGATCAATCAAGTATAGTCCAATTTCTGTAAAATCCGCACATTCTAACATCAAAAAGTAAAGTACATTGAACAACTAATGAAACTCAACTCACCTGTCCATCAAGAGCAGCAATTGCATCATCGACTTCAGTTTGTGTGGCCATTGTCACAAAGCCAAACCCACGAGAACGACCAGTCTCTCTGTCATAAACAACTCTTCCACTCAAAACTTTACCATGTTCACTGAATACTTGTTCCAGTCGAGCATCATCCACTTGCCATGGTAAATTCCCAACATAAATCCTGAAAGAAGGTTCAAATTCTCTGGCTGGCCTCTCAGGGCGAGCTCCTCTTGGGGCTGCCTTATTTACAGTTAGAAGCCTACCATTAACATCCTGTTCCCAACGCAACGAGAATTTCAAATCATAAAGACAATTTGGTAAGATGGTGTACCTTATGTCCAATGCACTAAGAATTTTAAACAAATAACTGCGATAGAGTAGGATTAAAAAGTACTGTAATATTTATAGACATTGAGATAATTATAATATATTGCTAACTTATGTAGGATGTAGGAGGTAATATATTATTGAAATACTTGATGCTAAGATATGAAGGGAAACTAAAGATTCTCAAATGCAAATAAAAGAAAACACACAATTACAAACAAGCACAGAACTTATGTCCAAACTAGTATGTTTTCAGAAAGTGCTTTCATTTTTCCGGATTTACAGCCATGAAAAAACCAAAAAAAAAAAAAGAGTAAGCCAATTTATCTATATCTGTCATTGTTGTTCGCCTCGTTCCTAGAGTAGTTGCAGTAGTGGAAGAAGAAGATAAAGGACACAAAATATGACATATTGCCCTTCTCATTCTGTAGTTCTAAAGGCCAAAAAATTGGGGGATTTGGTTTAGATAGGCAGTTAGCAGGTGTTATTTTCTCACATAAAAAAAAGAACTCATAAAAGATTTGACAAAACTTACATAACGATGGAACATTTCAACAGCTTGCTCAGCTTCTTCAACCGTGCTCATGGTAACAAACCCAAAACCACGGCTTTGATCGGTTTCTCTGTTATAGATAACCTACATGACCAAATACAGGAGCAATTATTAAAGATCCCTTCTTTATCAATCAAAATAAAAGTTTATTTTAATAATAAGAACACTATACAAATATTGGTCGACCCGTATATTGTAAAATCTTTTACCATCACAAGAAAAAATTAATAGTCATTTGTTACTACCTTCCAAATAAGAATCTAGATACACAATTTTACTAGCAGCATCCTCTATAGTGCATACCCCATAATGAAGAAACTATCACACAAAACTTTGAGCTCTAACATTCAAGATGAAAAGGGCACCGTGTAAAGTCTTAATTACAAACCAAATAACTTACAAACCATATAAATTACATCAAATCAAATTAAGTAAATATAGATATAGTGAAGACTGAAGAGTAACAATTAGTAGCAATAGATACCTCCATCGTTATAATCATACGAGTTCCCAGTTCTAATACTACTTTATCCAAACTACCAAATCTTTCTCCCAAAAATCAACTGTGTGTAACAGAAGGAAATTGTAACTGCTCTGTTCATTATAATGAAAAAAAATTGGAATCCTCATTCCTAAGACATAATCTAGAGAAAGGTCAGTGCCAATCCCTGGATTCACAAAATTTCATTCTGCAGAAGATTATTTAGGATGAAAAATCTATATGGTTTACTGCCAAAAAGCGAAATTTTTTTTATGAACCATAATCTTTAGACCTATATCCAAATCCACATCAAATAATAGAAGAAAAATAACATCTCGATAGAACTCATTTAATTTAAAAAAATCAAGCAATACAATTGACGACATCATTTATAGTACATAATAGAAAAATAAATCATACTCCAAACTGGAAGTAACACATCAAATACTACAGGGAAAAATAACTCAAAAGATCTAGGTCGGGTAGTGGAGGAAAACTTAGACTCTAACCTCAAAACATCAGTATCCCAATACCCACCTCAACAACCAAAACTTTAAAAACAACAATGTCCAATTTGGACAAAACATAATAGCATTTTATTTACTAAAAAACTAAGGATAAATTCTGAACTTACCTATCATCTTTAATGAGGATTAAATGAAACCAAGTTTTTAAGTTTCTAACCCTAATACTAAGTCGCCTCCACTCTGAAAACCCATGTCAAACAGAACATCAGAAACCTCACCTTTACTGCATACTCCATAAGAAACCATAAAAAGCAGAGGGAATGAGAACAATAACATCTAGTAGCAATTGAAAAAGAAAATCCAACCAATATCACAGGCTGCAGAATGGTCTGAGGATAAAACTCCAAACTCTTAACTCAAAAAACCACCCTATTAGAACCCACGTTAAGCAAAAACATAGACAATATCAGAATATAATATGGAGTTTATAAATTTTGTTCTCAAATTTCTTTACATCAATGTCAATGTCGCCCAAAAGAAAATTTAAATCCCAAACCTTGTATATTATAAAAGCCAAATAAACCAAACGCTCAAACAAAATCCCTTCTCCTTGCGGAACCCATTAGAACCACCTACCAAACACCAAATAAACCAAACGCTCAAACAAAATCCCTTCTCCTTGCGGAACCCATTAGAACCACCTACCAAACACAGAAACAAATTAGGAAAGAAAATAAGCTAACTTACACTTGAATACTCCCAAAGTTTCGCCCTTTTCTTAACTCTCACACCCTGAGGTTCAGTTTTGACAATTTGACAAACCAAAGTTTTCAAATTGACGTCTATCAGACAATTTGCTACCCCAATCCCTAACTTTGTTCTTCATTTCACCCAAACCCAAAAAAACGTGCTCCTTGCTCGCCTTTCTATGTTGAAATTCTTAACCAAAATTAACCAAGAAAATACACAGAGGGCGCGTGTCGTTATACCTCAGCGACCTCGACAACCCCAGCCTTTGCGAAAAGCTCGGCCAGC